TTTTCCAAGCAGCGTTCCTTTACAGGTTCATACAGAACTCAAGTAAGCTCTAGCTTGAAGATGTACTTTGACAAATTAAAATCTGTGATATCGACCAATAAAGATAATTATACATGCCAAAATTATTTGAATATATATATATATTGAATATATATGTATATCCGCATCACACGGAACTCCAAGAAAGAAACTTTGTGAGTCTGCTCTACACCATGTTCCTTCAGGAGATTGATAAGTATGCATTTGGTATCGTCTCAAACCATAGGCATGCCTCGGAGAGAGGAAAAGAACAAAGGGAGAAAATAATTCTAGTAAGAGCATCATATAAGAAGCATTTTCACATTCTAAACCCTTTTCTGCATCCCTGCGCCTCTCTGCTCTCCCTCTCCCCTCCTCGCCAGGCTACCTCCACACCCTTGGATAAGAATGTGAATATGAATGCATGTGGCACAGCAGATGTTATCCTGATATATTATTTTCCAATACTTTCAGGTCTCACGTCCAAGTTCTTTGATGTGAGTTATTTAAATTTAAGAACAATACCTGAAGATGAAAGAGTAAAAAAGCCCTCTTGTGCCATGTCTCTGTTTGTTAAAAGTAATAATGTAGTGTCACGTGAGATGATGTTGTGAGCCAGCAAACACAAATGTCTTTGGGAACTCTTTGTTCTGCTATTTTCCACCTAGTGGAAATTATCTGGTAAGGGAGAGAGTATGAACTAAAACTCGGATTCTAAATAAGTCGTGTTGGTTTCTGTGGGTGTTATTATTTGCCTTTGGAAACCCAGTTAACTATACTTTTAACTGACTGGAAATACAGGCATTGTGATGAATTAGGAAGGGGAGTCATTGTAAAATGCTGTTAACCATTGGGTACAGAGTCAAGGAGTCTGGAGGAAAACATGCAGGAATGGGAAGGAGGACTTGAATTTTGGTTAGCAGGAGCAGTTATTGTGACCAGCTGTCCTGTGCAGACCACAGGTTCCTCTCCATCTTTTGTAAAAGTAGAAGGTCAGGCCGACCATGGGAGTCTATGGGATTTCTCACACATGTTCTTCCTGGAAGACGCTGCGAGGTCCTAGCTGAGTCTTGGCTGTGCCTCTCCCTAGTAACACATCACTGCTGCAGACACGCCACGTTCACAGCCTTCGTAACCTTGAGGGGAAACAAGGATGATAAGGTCTTTCCTGTCCACCTCGTAGGTTTGTTCTGAGAAAGAAAGATCAACGTGGGGTGCTTGAGAGTGATAAATACAGGTACTAACTCTGCGGCTGTATTTAGTATCAGTGGAGGTCATAGTCAGTGTCGATAGCTGGCTCCTCACTCATGGACGTGCACACATCTGCGTCTAGATATCCATGGATACTGTAGATATCGAGAGACCCATCTGGATATAGGTGGAAAGATAGAGGGTTAGACAGATATGAGTTGTTCATGCATTTTACATAGTTATAAATTATACACACACACGTGCAAACTCGCTGAAACTCAGAGTGACTATTTAATATATTTTCACCTCTCCTCAAAGAAGGCTTGTAGAAGTTCACAAAATTGCTGACTCCCAGACTCAAGAATAAAACCAGTGGAGCAAAGTGGTCAAAAGCGTGGGCTGGATAATTGGAAGCATCGAGTGTAAACCCTTGCCCTCATCTCGATGACTTCCGGCAGATTTCCTAAATTCCCTGAGCCTCGGCATCCTCATCTGTAAAAGGAATTTAGTTTCAGTTCTGCTCTCATAAAGCTTTTGTGAAAATCAAATGAGATGCAGCATAAAACACAAACTTAGTGCTGGACCTGAGCACAGGGAGCAGCGAACAGAAGGGAAACACCATCCTGAACCCCGCGAATGTGCTCTGTGCCAGCCCAGGGCACCGGACGGAGCTGGACCTACAGACACAGGGCTCCTTTCATGGTCCTTGTGGTCTACAGAGAGATAGACATGAAAGAGACAAAAAAAACCACCACATAAAATAACTGTGTGGTTACAGTTCCGACCAGAGTGATGAGGGATGAGCCCAAAGGGGAGACCCCATCCGGTCTTTATTGAAACCACACCCTCTTTGGCACAAGGGTCATGTCTAGAGCTGAGGAGCAACTGCTTCCCTCCAGGCTCGCTGAACCCGTGTCTCTGCTCGTGGTCCAGCTCCCCCGCTGACAGGTTAACATGGACCACAGTTGACTTTCTGGGCAGCCCTGCCGCCCCCCACGCCGGGAACCCCATGCCCAGGTCTTTGTTCTGCAAGGAACAGCAGGGACTGGCTCAAACTGGCTTAAGACACACATCAGCGACGTCCCCTGATGGGCGATAGGGTGATGCTGGCTCCTGATCCTCTTCCAACTTCTGTTCATCGTTTTGGCTGCCAAGCTGTGCTGAAGAGATCTAGGAAGCAGACAAAAGGCAAAAAGCCTCGTCAGAAGAATGGCAGATTGTCAGCAATGCTCACTTCACGCCATCCTTGGGTTACAATATTTGTCACTGTGTACCTCTTCTTTAAAGGCCTTTCCTCCCACGAGATGCAAACCTTGTTGTTGCCACGGGATCTCTCTTGCCTCATCTATTATGCATCACCTCATGCAAAATAAATAAAATACAGAAAATGGCACATGTCTATGCTAAAATAATGTTTGCATAAATTATATATTTTTTGGGAAAAAAAAACAAACTGGAGGAACATCAAGAAAGGTAAAGATTGGCCAAGATTTTGATCTTCACCGACTTTCAAGTGAGGAGCTAAACAAAGTGTTAAAATCGGAGTTTCGATGTTGTTGCCTTGGCTTCACCAAAGCTGGAAGCAACGTGCATGCTAGAAGTTCTGCTCTAGGCTCCAATAAAGTGAGAGTCAACACTCACCAGTCTCACAGGAGCGTCTTTGCTCTATGTGATGATGGGGGCACCAACAAAAGCAAACAGCCTGGAAGGGGCCTGTGCATTTTTTGGTGGTCTTGCCAAAGCATCTCCCCTCTGTTTCTCAACTCAGAGACCAATGTCCTGCAAAAGCCGCCGAGAGGGGGCAACTTTGGGTTAGGGCCGGCATGTTCTGGGAAGCTCAGATGGCTCACAGGCAGCATCCTACAGCCGAGTTCCTGGAGACAGTTTATGCTCAAAATCTTTGATATTATAAAGAGTAGGTGGGCGGGTCATGCACTTTTCCAACATTCGCTAGAAATTACCAGCAGGGGCAAGTCCTGTGGCCAAGTAGTTAAGTTCATGTGCTCTGTTTCCACCACCCGGGGTTCACTAGTTTGGTTGCTGGGTGTGGACCTACACACCGCTCATCAGGCCATGCTGTGGTGGCGTCCCTCATAGAAGAACTAGAAAGACTTGTAACTAAGATACACAACGATGCACTGGGGATTTGAGGAGGAAAAAAAAAGAGGAAGATTGGCAACAGATGTTAGCTCAGGGCCAATCTTCCTCACCAAAAACGCATACCTTAAAAAAAAAAAAAGGTTACCAGCAGCTTTAGGCTGTTCTGTTGATGAAATGTAATTGTTGAAGCGGCATGGAACAGGGACCTAGTTTGAGGGCATTTATCAGTTTGAAATGAGCCAGGTAAACACTCGTTCTCTCTGAGGCCTACCTATAATATATGCTCATTCTTTAAAAATTATTTCCCAGATCAATTTACTAAACAAGCATAGCGTGAGTGATGTGTACCAGTCATTGTGTGCATTAACTCTCCAGTGTGGACCAGCCCATGGGGCAGATGCTGTTCTTATCCCCATTTTGTAGATGGGGAAACTGAGGCCTCGTTTCCATCACTTGTCCAAAGTCAGAGAAGTGGAGTTAGCATTGGAAATCCAACGTCCTCCTCTCTTTTGCTCATCCATGAAAAATGAGCGGTGCTCCATCAGCTCAGGCATAGAAACACATCTCATCATCTAATTGTTTCCAACGTTCCCTGGAGGGCTTGTTTTTTCTTACATAAAGAAAACTATCTGGAAATACCTAGGCCCATAAGGAGCTTGAAAAGGATGTAAGTAACATAGTAAATAACATAGAAATATTTGTGCTCCCCTTTTATATCAACATGTTAATGCTTGCTAATGAATATCAGAGTGGATTTCCCCCCAAACCATTAGTGTTATAATTAATAGCTTATTAAGTGATTAAAATGTAAGATGGAATGTGATTTAAATGTAAGATGTAATGACGATGGCTGGATTATTTTCCTTCTTATATTTCACGTTAGATTTTTAAGGTTCCACAAGAATAGTCTTGAAAAACAGGAGAACTATGAAAAAAATTGTTCAAACTGTTTCAAATTGCAATGCACCTGCTCGTAAATGTTACTTTCTTTCCTCCGAGTGTTACATTCGGCAGTAAAACCATCAGGTGAAAATCCTCTCTACCTCTCTTTCCATTGTTCCCTAAATAAAGCATCCCATTCAAATACCTCTCCTTAAAAAATCAGGCTCAGATCCCAGCACCTCCGTCCTTACACGATATTTCTCTTTTGCAAAGGGAACCGCCGAGGGATATGAAAGGAAAAAAGAAAACAAACAAGCAAACAGACAAACAAGCAACCTCTGAAGAATGAATACACCTGAGAGGCTGTCTCCTGGGGAAGTGCAAATCTTAGCCCCTTTCTGAGGAAGTGAGGGCTCCGTATTTCTTAGAGAGAAATCTCCTCCTCGACACAACAAGCATTATCACGAATTAACTAGTTAAGAACTGTTTGGTTGGGGAAACAGTCCCTGCCTCTCTCCGAGCCTAGCGAGTGTGCAGAAGCATGCGATGCCATCCCTTCGGTCTGAAGCCAGAAGCCTGGCTCCCAAGGTGGATCCTGCGAGCTGCCCCCGCAGGCTTCTCCCAGGCAGGCTGGCTCTGCCCTGCTGCTGTTCCCTCCCTCCAGGGCAGCCTCCTTCCCTTTCCACCGGGTCCTGGGCAGTTCCATCCGTCCAAATGGGAGCTGAGTTTGCAAGCTGACAGAGGATGCGAAGGGCGGGTGGTGCTGATGTCAGAGCCGGCAGACAGCTGCGATTGGATCTAATTAGACTTTGCAGCAGCAAATCGAAGAGCTCCCTGCGTGATTGGCTTCAAAGTGGCTGGTGCCAAACAACTAGCAGAGGTGCCAAAGTAGAAGCCCTGCCTTTGGAGCCCAGATCAAGAGAGGCCGCCCGGAGGAGGAGAGCTGGGAGCGCCCAGACTGCTGGGCGCACCTCTCCTGCATGGAGCATCCTGTCGCTGGAGCGCTGTGGCGTTCGGCTCCCATCGCAGCCTCTCAGCCCAGCTGGAAACAGTAACAGGGAATAATTAGAGGAAGAAGGAGCGGGGGGAGCGTGTGAGTTCTCAGTCTTAAAAAGTGGACCGGCTCCCTGACTTGCAGAAGCAGAAGCGTTTAGTAGCAGCAGCGGCAAGAGCAGGAAAGGTGAAACTGTTTAAGAGAGGATTCCTGCCCTGCTCTGCCTACCCAGGCGCAGCCATGGCATCAGTGTTGGGGACCAGCAGAGGGTCCGGAGTGCTGAACAGTCAACTTAAATGCAAGTCCAAGAGGAGGAGGAGGAGGAGGTCCAAGAGGAAAGGTAAGGACCTGGTTTTCTGTGCTAACTCTCCACTCTTCTCCGCGGTCCTCCTGTCAGTGGGGTTTGCCTGTCTCCAGCAGCTTCACTTTAGGACGCTGCTGGGATGTCAGGACAAAGCAGAGACTCGCTGGCTCGCTCGGGAGTTCAGATCCCTTTGTAAATGGCTGGGGGCTTTTGTGACCCTAGAGGGAACAGTGAACAGAGCAGCGGGCTCTGCAGAGCCTTTGGCTGTGAGCGGTGTTAGGCGGAGGAGAGGGGCAGGGGACGGGGCCGTCCTTTTGACTAGAGGATGGTTCCCTCCTGGACTCCGCGGCGCTGGCTGCAGGAGCTGCCTCTGACCCTCTCGGAGAAGGCATTAGCAGACGGTGCCAAAGGAAACACTCACTTCAGCCAGCACCCCTCAAAACAAGGGGCAGACCTCGTGCCAGCTTCTCCATCCAAATTGTCTTGGAGGAAGCAGTGGGCAAACCTTGGCAACCGCCTCCCCCAAATTGGCCGACAGTTTCCACTTAGCGCGGAACCCGTTGTTTTGTAACACTGGGACCTACAGAGAGAACAGGCTGGTCCTGGAGGGAAAAAAAGCAGAAATTAATCCATGAAAAGAGATATAGGCATTCCAGCTTGTTAGTGGTGAAAAACTGCAAACCAGAAAAGGAGAAAAAAGTGGGTGACAGGTTTGCTCCTGTCATGTTTGTGCCTCGTTACTGATGTTCTGAGCTCAGCCGCCCTGAAGTTGGTCAGATCCGTCACCAGCCCAGGCTTCCACGGAGGGGCTGGTGGAGGATCAGGCTCTGCTCCAGCCCCAGAGGCGAGTCCTAAAAATGCCACCACAGCCTGCGCGCGGTCCTGGGAAGGGCGCAAAGATTCTCCCAGAGCCCAGACAGGAACTTGTTCTCGGCAGCTCCTTATTATGAGTCTGCAGGAGAAAGTTCGGTTCTTGTCCTTATTTGAAACGTGTTGATTTTTTTTAATTGAATACAGAGCCACAAAGAACAGTTGAGAAAACATGACTGAACTGGATCTGATTTTCCAGTCTTTCTGATGCAGGAGGCGCTGTCAGATGTGGTCGAGGTGCTCAATGCTCCTAGAGAATGTTCATCTTCGTAGTGGCCTAAGAGAAGTTTCTGCCACCTCTTTTCCTCACTGCCCTCACACAGTCCGCGAGTCCTTCACGGCTCATTCTAATATTAGAAATTAGCCAGACAGTTTGAAAACGTAAATGCCAATATCAAACAGTCGTTCATTATGATCGTGTGTCAGGACCTTGGGGGCAGAGGTGGCCTGATCACGTCCTCAAGAGGTTTCACAGCCTTTGGTTTCTTAGTGGGCGTCATCCTCTAATTCTAGATTAACTCTCGAGCTGCTAAAATGACCACCAGCCATTCACTTTGTCCTCTGAAAATATCCTTTCGAAACAGATCTGTTAATGTCTTCCAAAAATAATGCTAACAAAAAGTGGTGATGACATTGAAAAAAATCACAGAATTTGATAACGAATATAACTTTTAAAAGAGAAAAAAGGAAACATCATCATGTATACTTCAAGTGTTCATGTTTCCCACGGTTTTTTTGTTTAGTATATTTAAATAATTAAATTAAAGAGTATGGAATAGTATTTCACAATAAAAAAATCTATAGAAATAAAATATAAGCTGATGGACATTGATGCCTTTCTCCAAATTCATTTTTCATACCTTTAAATGTCAGTCGTGCTAGCCGAGAAAGCATTCAATTTTGGAAAGAAAAACAAGCAATCTGGAGGGAGACTTCATTAGCTATAAACTTAACTATAAAAATTCAAAATAAAATTTTTATGTAAAATATTTCTATGCCTTGGTTATTTTGAATATACCAAGTCTCTAAATTTTCATAGCCAAGAGCAGAAGGGGGAAAGGGCGTCAGGATGCGTGTACTAATTCCTTTTCCCCGTAGATTGATGCGTGGGGGTGAAATTTCCCGTGGCATCTGCTGACAGCTCTCTTGGTAGGACAGTCAACTCAAACTGCTAGATAGTCACTTTTTAGGAAAAGTTAACCATGTAAAGTGTAAGTAATGGAGTTAAAAGAAAACATAGCAATTATGGGATCTGTTAAACGGTAATTTGCATTTTGCTTGGAATAGATCAGTTTATATACAATTCCTAGTTGTTAGAGATGCTTGTTTTCCTGTTCTACCAGGACAATGGTGAATTTAAATTATGTTCTAATATTCATGAATTTTAACAACAGCAATTTGATAGAATAGCCTCAGCTTTTAAGCTTATCTAATATTAAAACTCTGTCAATTTAAAAGCCACGTGTGTATGGATGGTTGGTATAGAATTTTAGGAAGGCTTATTGAATACTAAGCGAAGCCACTGATTAAGAGCACAAAGAAAGGGCTCTTCTTATATGTGAATAAGTAAATTAAAATGAATGTTAACCTTTTTTGCCAATGGTATGTATTTTTCCACCTATTCTGATGAACGAACCTTGTCTGAAGATGCATCCTCATTTCTATTTGCCCAGTGCTGTGAAATGCCACCAGCTTGCTACATGTCTGCTCTGAGAGTAGCTTTGGTATGATTTTTTTAACATGCTTTTTGTTATCAAAATAACCTATAGGCTCTGCGATAAAAAACTCTGTAGCTACAGCTTAAGTGTGGGATAGATGCGATACTTTATAAGTAAACACGATCTATAGCCTCAGAAATGAAATATTTTCTTGTATTAGGTATTTTTTTGTCTCCATACCACAAAGGAAGTAGTTTATATCTTTAAAAGTAAAAATAAAAATAAAAATAACTCAGTCCCAGCATATGACTTTCAGGTATTACCTACCCGGGACCTGCATTTCTCTCTCTGATAAACTTTAAAGAAGATGCTCAGAGCAAACCTCCCCAGCCACCAATCTCTTTGGCTATTTTATCAGGACCTGGTCTGTACGTGTTTGCCTGTGTGCTATTTTTCAGTTGGGACTTTCTCTTAGAAATCATTTATGAATGATTTACACTTTCTGGACAAATGAGAAATGGCAGAATTTGACTTTTGTATGGAAGAAAAACAGGCGGCTAAAAAAAATTCCAAAAAGCCTGGGGAAGCCATCTCATTTATGCACGTGTGGTTAAGGAGTGTCCACATTCTATGTGCCATGGGAGAGACACGGCGGTTTACTCGGCTTCGACCTGGTTCCGAGACTTGCAGGAAATACTGGGGGTGCTTGTGGTTCAGGGGGACCCCGCTGCCCGCCCTGCTAAATGCCCACTTGGCTTGGCTCCTTTCTCAGGGACAATTCCCAGACTGCACTTTATTTTACGGTTCTGGGCAGAATGATGCGAGCTGATTATGCACAACCAGATCTGCGTTCTTTGGTTATAGTAAAGTCTGCCTGTATTAGGAAAGAACAGGATGGGGAAATATTATAAAAGGTGTATATTTTAACCCAAAATAGTGAAGGTAAAGGTGTAAGGTATTTAAAATTAGTATCAGCTCCATCACGTAGAATAAGGGGTAGTTTCATCAAGACAGTGTAGTATATAAGGATAAATCACTTAAAATTTTATCAGTTAATCTCTGAGCCATCGGATATCTTCAGCGAAATATGTCTGGGGAATTTCATCAGCATATTTTAATTATTAAAACAGTACATGTAGTCTGTTCTGTATATTGGGTGTTCTTTTGTTGGTATAGTTTTTCTAAAAGAAGCTGCTTATTATCATAAAATGCATTCTGTAAATAAAATATCTTTAGTATTTGACCCATTGGTGTATGCAACGTGTGAAATGGCTGAAGTTTGTGGACATTTAAAAGAAATTGCCCTTTGGACTCAAATACGTTTGGAGATGAGTTGGGCACCAATGCGAGGTCGGCTGGTTCATGAGGCGGCCGGGAGCACAGGGTTTTAGGTGAGGCGCTTCAGTCTCGAAGCCGGGGAAGAGAAGGAACTTCTCAGAACTATTTGAAATCCTATAGAAACAATCATTGTGAAGTCGGTCGAGTTGAATTCGGGCATCAGCACATGACCTTTCTTTTTTTGAGGCATTTGACAGCAAAATAAATTAGTGCTTGAAATTTAGATATTGCTGCAGGGCGATCAGTTACATGGAATCTTAGAAAACTGAAGGTGGATTTTGGAAACAGCAACACAGGTGTCGGTCTGCGAGTGGGCTGATGAATCTCAAGGTGGGAGCGTGGCCGGTGGCTGAATGTTGTGAAAGGCAGATAAAAAGTTGGCAAAAGGAGCAGAATAAGTGGAGCAGATGGATGCCAGACGCAGGCTTGTGGGGAAATGGAATTCCATGAAAAATTAATGAAATAGAAAGACGGTGCTGAGGATGGAGTACAGAGGCTGTGGGCTCTTCCTCCCCAGCAGCCTCAGTGACTCACGACCGTGTCCGTGCTGGCTGGCGGGGGACCGACTCCTCCTGCACCACGGCCCGCGTCCCCTCACCCGCGCACCTCGTGCTCTGACAGCTCCCGAGGAAGGACCAGGTTTAGTGATAAAATTAGACGGATTAAACCGTTCTTCATCATCTAATTGTGTAGGGCGTTTTTATTCCTGTCTCTCTTTAAAATTTGTGTTGGCACCTCTGGTTTCTAGTGACCCGTGTAACAGCAGTAATTTGAGATCGCTTCGAAGGCATTAGATATGATGAGTGAACTTGAATTTAGAATAAAAATATGAGGCTCATGTATCCATATCTAAATCGTGGTGATTATTGCAGAAGTGCCGTCCCAGAAGAGACTTACGTAAGGAAATGCAGAATGAGGAAACTGTATTGTTCTTTTTTGAGGCATGGAAAAATAACTCATGCTCTGAACGCATTCCACGTCCCATTTAAAGACCATATATACACACACACTTATGTTTGTTGTGTGGGTATCCATGTACACATATATACACAGTAAAGAAAGTTGAAATCTTTGAGCAATTTTTGTATCTGCCTGCTTCTTTTCCTGAGATGCCAGAAAGTGAATGTCAGTGTTTTTGTAACAAGAACAGTTTTGAACAACTCATAAAAC